TATCGACTCCCATCGATTACTTTTAAAAGAGAAATTACAGATTATTCATATAAAATGATTTCTTAATCATTTCTTAATCTCTCGAGCGTTATTTTGAGATCTTCGTAATGTCATTTGAGATTCTCTTATCCGTAAGAAGATTTATTGATTATTATTATTATTATTATTACTATAATTATCAAACATAAGAAACAAAGAGACTACGTTCGATAGAAATCTGTCTAGTATAATTGCGTAAGGTAATATCGTAAAAAAAATGGCTACTGAGTAAATGGTGTTCGCATTCGCATGGTGACCATTTAATATCGACATTGCACCCACTATCGATATTATACGTATACATAGATCTAATATATATATATATATAGATACATATGTATGTGTATATAAACATACGATAAGAGTTAATTGGTATACTACCAGTGGCGATGACGGTAAGAGACTGGCGAAGAGTATAAGAGAGATAGATAGAGAAAGAGAGAGAAAGAAAAAGAAAGAGAGAGGGAGAAAGAAAGAGAGAGAATACGTTCGCTATAGATCAATTATTTCCACGTATTTCAGGCGTGCGACGACGACACACATTGGTTATCCTCTTTTATGCTAGCGAAGCTTCATGAGTGTTTCTAGGAAACTGACATCCACCCATTAGTCTCCTTTCTACCCTTTTACGTGCGAGCGCATGTAAACCGTTTATTGGTCCGTACGAAAATTGACTTCGTTAAACGTCACCATATTCATTTTGCATTTTGAAATAGAAGAAAAGGAAAAGAAAATTAGATAGGAAAGAGCAATCGTGGGTTGCGCGAGGTTAATATATAAAAAAAAAAAAAAAAAAAAAATGAAAAGAAAAACAACGAAGAAAAAAAAAAGAAAGACCAATGACGACAAAAAGTAATAATTTAAAAATTAACTATATATGCGTAAGTACTTATTATGCGAGATTGATAATAGAAAGAACAAAATTTGTATAATAAAAAATGATAAATATAATAATAATAAAAAAAAAAAATAGAAATAATAATAATAATAATAATAATAATAATAATAATAATAATAATAATAATAATAATAATAATAATAATAATAATAAGTCTGTACGCCTACTTATACATATACATATATATAAGAAATTTATGAGAAATATTTTGTTCCTTTTCCTTTTTCTTTCGTACGCACCTTCGTACCCTTCTCTTTCCTATCTCCTAATTTTTTTTCTTTTTCTTCTTCCTCCTCCTCCTTTAAATCTTTATCCGATCTGAAGCTTACCCTACGCGAACGTAAAGTGACCTTTCCACCGCAACGTGCACAGCACCGGATGTGGCAGTAGTTGCAGTTGTGACCAATGCCGTCGGCAAACTTGGTTTTCATGCATACTTGACACGTGGCGTTAAGCTCCATCCCAGCCTTCTTGTGTTTCTCCGAACGGGCTCGTATCGTTTCCTCAAGGACTTGAACCTCATCCTGTTTTCGTCTGCGAACATATAGAACATATACGCACATTTGAGATATTGAACGTAATAATATATACAGGAAGAAATCTTCATATAAGAGAGAAATACAGAAAGAGAAAAACGAGAGAGAGAGAGAGAGAGGGAGAGAGAAAACTGTATGGAAAACGTGCCGTAGGACGATCGATCGATCGTCAAACGTACGCCAACAACTCGAGACGAGCATACTTTTTATTACTTTTCGATCTATCAAAGTATACATATATCCGACGAATATATGTCTGACGTTCTAATAAAGATCGTAATAAGAATATATATTTGTTGAACTTTCTTCGTCGTTCTTCTCTCCGTCGTAAAAAGAGAGAGAGAAAAAAAAAAAAAGAAAAAAAGAAGTCCTTTAGAAATCTTTAATATTCAGCAAAGAAAATAGCAATATGGATATTATTAAATGGTCCATTGGTCCATCAAAGAACTTCAATTTAATTGAATTTAATCTTTTATGAAAAGGAAAGAAACAAAAACTAATACATATGGATACATACTTATATATCTGTGTATATATATATATACATATAATTTTTTTTTCTTCCTTTAATAATAAATACGTAATATGTACATGTATTTTTTAATTTAATATGAATTTGTATCAAGAAAAAAAAGGGTCATTCTTTCGTTTATAATACATATATGAAAAAAAAATATATATATATATAAAAAGAAAAGAACAAATCAATAAGTTTACACGCAACGGAAGTAAGAAATTATAGAGTTTTCCTTTTCATAGTAACTCCTTAACAGGTAACACCTCTTTTCGAAATTCTAAGTAGTTGTAGGTATTTTCCTCGAATCCTTTGACGGAGGCTTATGTCCTCGTTCAAGGATTTCCGTGAGTCCGTCGCCGTGACGTCACGATAGGCGTCAACGGTCCTACGAATTTCTCACACCCTCTTTCTCTTTCTCTCTCTCTTTATTTCTCTTTCTCTTCATCCTTCACATTGAACCAATTTAGCCTCGTGTATCGTACCTTAAGCTAAAAATGAAACGAGTCTACCACGTCGTTGAACGTGCGTCATTACGTGCCTTATCTGTCGCTCGAGTGGAAATATTCAAATACGTTTGAGAATTGAGATACTCTTTAATGAAAGAGAACGTGTTACGTGGAAGGAATACGTGTTTCAACTTAAAGGGAGAGTTAGTTAAAGAAGAGGATAAAAAGGAGGAATAAAGGAAAATTTAGGGGAAGAAGGAAAGATTAAAAAATAAAAATTAAATTTTACAAAGCAAAACTGTAAAGCGAATTTTTTTTTCGTTCTCTCTTTATTCATTTATTTTTATTTTTATTATTATTATTATTATTATTATTATTATTATTATTATTATTATTATTATTATTATTATTATTATGTTTTTTTTTGTTTTTTTTTTTTTTACTTATCTATAATCACCTTTTATCGGACTATATCATACGCGCGGATTATCTTCTCATAACTTGAATATGGAGAAAGTTTGAAGGTAAAGAAGACTATAAAAAAAAAAAAAAAAAAAAACGAAAGAAAGAAAGAAAGAAAGAAAGAAAGAAAATATAAAAATGAAGACGACACAAAAGACATCTTGTTTTCTTGTTTCACTTTTCTCTTCTTTATTTTATTTTTATTTTCTTCTTCTTTTTTTTTCTTTTTTCTTTTCTTTTTTTTTTCTAATGATATTTTCTATCGAACTATCCCCGGGTTACTTGTTACGCAATGATATATATGATATATGAAATTTGTTTTCTAATAATCGTGCAGCGCGAGATAAAAAAAGAAAAGCAAAGAAAAGAAAAGAAAAGAAAAGAAAAGAAAAGAAAAATAAAAGGAAAAAGAAAAGAAAAGAAAAGAGACAAAAAAAGAAAACGACAAAAAGAAGAAAGAACGATAGGGAGAGGGTTGGGAAAAGTTGTGGGTGTTGGGAGCGGGGACGGTTGGTAAAGGTTTGAAAAGAGGAACTCGAATTTGTGCGAGATAGAAAAGCACGAGGGAGTGTAATGCCTCGAGGCAATGACTCGGAGCGTATCTAGAAAATTGAACTTTATTGCGCGATTTATCTTGTAATATTTCACGCGCGTTCCATCCTCCGTCGCGTTATCGTGCTTTCATTTTTTCCTTCTTCTTCTTCTTCTTCTTCTTCTTCCTCCTCCTCCTCCTTCTCTTTACATTCCTTTCCTTTCCTTTCCTTTCCTTTCCTTTCCTTTTCTTTTCTTTTCTTTTCTTTTCTTTATTTTTTTTTCCTTCCTCAAAATCGAAATTCGATTCGATTCGACTCGTTTAATGTCGCGAGACGGCCGATCCGACGACCAGAGAGGAAACCGTAAGAAATTTATCAGATCGGATTATTACTCGATAATAATTTCCTCCTTCTCAGCTTGTTTTTTCTCTTCTCCCCTTCTCTTTCTCTCTTTCTCTCTCTCTCTCTCTTTCTCTCTCTCTCTCACTCTCTCTCTCACTCCTTCGAGATCTCGTCACAATTTCGTTAACCACTCACAAATTGACGTCGTGGCAACGTGATAAGTCAAATCCGTTAAGCTTGTTTTTCTCCTTATATACTAAATAAAATCTTAGAGTATTTTCTACTGGTTCGAAAATTTTTATATCGTTGAAATTTTAACGAGATCTTTTTATGCGTTACGATGACCAAGATACGATAGAAAATTTCACTTCGGAGGTATGAAAAAGAAAATCTTTAAGAATTAAGACGAATGAATTTTTTTTCTTTTTTTTTCTTTCCTTCTTTTTTAATTTTTCGAAAAAAGAAAAAAAGAAAAAAAAAATAAACTTCGATAGATAACGAACACTCGGATGCGAACTGTGTACGATTGAAAAGAAAAGAGGAAAGAAAGAAAGAAAGGAAAAAAACAAAAAAAAAGAAAAGAAGAAAATAGAGAAAATGGTGGAAATCATTTTGATAGGTCGATTTTAGCGGCTCGAAAAGGTCGGTCATAATATTACAAGAACGACACACAAATAATATCGGTGCTTGCCTGGGCTCCTTTAATTACTTTATCAATAATCATGCACGCAACGCAAAGGCGAACACCGCACTCGATGAAACTTTCGAGTACTGTTCCCCGAGTCCTCACTTTCTTCAAAACCTTACCCTCCAACAAGCAAGCAAGCAAGCAACCAACCAACCAACCTACCACCTCCCCCAACCACCCACTTTCTTAACCAACAACGTTAACCACCCCTTTTCGTTACACCCTTGTGTTCTGTTCGAGCATCGTGCTTGTCGCGATATCGTACAAGAGATCGAAAGGAAAAAGCTTTAGAGCGTTAATAAAGTACCTACCTCCCCTCAACCCTCGCCATCTTAACCCTCCACCCCTCCTCACCACACCACCATGAATTATTATCCGTACGCGTAAAGGTGTGAGAGAAATAACGAGAGAAAAAAAAAGAAAAAGAAAAAAAGAAAAAGAGAAAGAGAGAGAGAGAGCGAGAGAGAACACGATGAGAAGCGTTTATTAAAGTAAACGCACGCGCGAAACTCACCCTCCTCTCTTCCATCCCCCAGTGTTTTTTGCTCAAATGGTACGACACGAATGGTAGCCAATATAACACTGGATGGTATCAGTGTATATACATATGTATGTATATATATATATATATATATATATATATATATATATATATATATGTATGTATGTATGTATGTATGTAGTTTAAAGGAAATAAAATTTATAAGTGATATTTTTCTTCTTCTCCTTTTATTTTTCTTTCTTTTTTTTTTTCTTTCTTTTTCACATTTCATTGGAAAAAATTTTTTTTTCCGATCGTTTCCCTTTCTAACTTTCTCCTCTTTTTTCTTCTTTCCTTTTTTTTTTTTTTTTTTTTTTACCTTATTATTATAACAAAGACAAATTCACGAGCAGCCCGTGCAGACCCACGCATAAGAGAAAGAAAAAAAAAAGAAAAAAAAAATAAAGAGGAAAGAAAATGGAAGAGAGGATATAGAATGAATAGATTTGTGAAGGGTATCGTATGTAAAATTTTTGTCAACCGTTTAGATCCCAGTAACGATCTAAAACTCGTGTATAATCCTATCGTTTTGCGTTACTATCCTCTCTAGCTCTATTGTGAGAGAAACCGCGTAAAGTCTATAAAATACCGCAGAGCGAGTGGTCGTCGTTGTATGTACGTGGATAGATACATACGTAGATACGTACATACGTACATATGTACTTATGTATATAACGCGTCCTCCGCGTCGCGATAATGCGGAGAACGCGCGTTTCTACGTAACAAACGAAGAAAGTTTCGACCCTTCGAACGTGTATCGTCGCCCTTCTTTTTCTTTCTTTATTTTTTTTTTCTTCTCTTTTTTTTTCATATTTCTTTCTCTCTTTTCCTCCTATATTCCAATGAAATGTCACGAGACATCGCGTTCATCTTCTTTTCTCTCTCCCTCTCTCATTGTTTTTTTTTCTTTTTTTCTTTCTTTTTTTTTTTTTTCCATATACTCTAAAGAGCAAAGAAGCATTCGTATATGACGTTAATCTCTTTTCTGTTAAGTGTATATAAGAATTAAAAAAAAAAAAAGGAAAAAAAAAATAGAAAAAAGAAAGAAAGAAATTAAAAGGGATATAAAAAAGAAGAAGTATATTATCGAGAGAGAGTGAGAGAGAGAGAAAGAGAAATAGTCCATATTTTCGTTCGTACCTGTAATTTATTTTTGGTTTTTTTTTTTCTTCGTTTTTTCCTTTTTTTTATTTTTTACGAGTTTAGGTCCGGTTAGGCAAAGAGAAAACGTGCCATCCATCCGTAAACCTCTCGTATATATCTCACCTCTCCAAGAATTTACCGTCCCAATCTAGTCGCTTTCACAGGCCATCATCCACAAGAGTCGCAGCTGCAATGCCCTATGCATACCCTATGCAGCTGCGACTCGTTGCTAAGCCACGTAAGGGCTTTCGCCGTTTTGCATTTTGCACATGTATCTACATATGTATACGTCCCTCGTCTCACTAACCAATCCCTATCCACGTTTACTACATCAGAAGGGTATCTTATGTTGATACGAAACGAGAATCACGTCTTACACGTTACTTTACCAAAATTTCTTCTTCCTCGATTGCCTTAATGTCGAATTTCTTCTCTCTCTCTCTCTCTTTCTCTCTCTCTCTTTCTCTCTCTCTCTCTCTCTCTCTCTCTCTCTCTCTCTCTCTCTACGAAATCATCGATGATCCATCAATTCTAATGATAAACAACACAGTGACAAATTGATCCTTGAAAATAAATACTCAATTCTAAAAGAAATTCATCTGACTTTCAAACATGATTATGAAATGAAAGGGAATAAAAAAAAAAAAAAATGCAAAGGAGAAAAAAAAATAGATAAAGAAGAAGAAGAAAAAATAATAATAGATATAGTGTTTCATTAACTCTACTAGTTTGCATTTGCGAATTTCCATCTCGCAACACGTGCAACATTGACCCACTTAGTTCGCCGGTGCAACGATCATCGGCGGTTAGCGCGACTTGGTACAATCGATAAGGGTATATAATTTTCGAAAAAAGAAAAAAAAAAAGAAAGAAAAAAAAATACAAAAAACAGAAAGGAAAAAATAGAAAAAGGGAGACAGAGAAAGAGAGAGAGCGAGAGAGCGAGAGAGAGAGGGAGAGAGAGAAAAAAAAAAGTAGAAAAAAGAAGTGGACCACGATTTTATCCCAAGATAAAAACTCAATCGATCGAACGTACGTACGAACGAACGAACGAACGAAGACTCGGCGTTTCTCTTTGTGATTCGACGCTCGGACGAGTCTCGTTTCGGGTCGGTTTTTATCTCGCTCGGGCGAAGATCCAAAAATATTTCCTTAAAGCGCGGCAAGAGTCTGTGTATATCTATGCATGTGTACGTACGTACATATAATATATATATATATATATATATATATATATATATATATAGAGAGAGAGAGAGAGAGAGAGAGAGAGAGAGTGAGAGAAAGAGAGAGAGAGAGAGAGTAGGTGAGTAGCAAAAATAGATGAAAAAGAAGGATAGGTCGAATGCTTTTTAACGAAATAATCAATTCAAGGATAAAAATTGAGGGATGTATGTATTTCGAATAACAGGTGACCGTACAACGTTCGATAGCCTCTTGTAGTGTTATCTTTATCGTCCGACCATTAAAATCCGTTACTACTTGCCCCACGATGAGGAGAACGAGACCGTAGATGTTCCTGTATCTACTTGTCACGGAACGCCCACTTTACTTCTTCACGAGAGAAAGGGAGAGAGAAGGATAGCGTGATCTTTAAAAAGGGAGAAAGAAGAGGTGTCGATTTTCTAAAGGGATATTTAGCCGTTAACTATGGATATAAGTAAGTAAGTAAGTAAGTAAGTAAGTAAGTAAGTAAGTAAGTAAGTAAGTAAATAAGTAAGTAAGCAAGCAAGTACGTAAATAAATAGTAAACAGTAGAGATGAGGGTCAGTCGCATCCACGATAGTCTTCGAACGTTGATAGGATCTAATGAAAGTTCTAAACTATACCTAAACCAAGATGATAAATCTAACCGATATCATTGACATTATTGCATATACATATGGTAGAACATCAGAAGATATAGAATATATAGGATATTCTTCCTTCGTAAGATTTTTATGATCTTTTTAAGTTTGTTCAACGAGACAGTTGGAAAAAGAGCAAAAAAAGAAAAAAAAAGAAAAAGGAAGAAAAAAAAAGAAAAAAAAAAGCTCAGATCATATTTTGTCCATTGTGAAAAAAGAGAAAAGAAAAAAGACAAATATTCTCATAGAATGTATAATAATAAATACAGGATGATCTTGGTTACGAGAGAAGAGAAAAAAAAGAGGAAAGAGAAAGAGAGAAAAACAAGGAAAAAAAGAAAGAAAATGATCTCTCTTTCTCTCTCTCTCTCTCTCTCTCTCTCTCTCTCTCTCTCACTCTGTAAATTAATAAAAAATTCCTTTACCTCATAATCTCATTTGCCTTTTCCTCTTCCTTCTTCTGTCGTATCATGACCTCCTCGATGATGCGCCTCTCCTCCGGAGTGAGGTGCGATATATCGGGTAAGTCCTCCATCACGGTCTAAAGATATCGGACGCGTTTTATCACGGGTCGGAGGTCGGGGTCTAACGCGTTGATGGGCAGAAAGCTGACCAGCGACCTGGCTAGGATGCCGGCTATGCAGCGCCAACACCGGCGACGTCGCCGACGAGAGAGCGCGACGGACTCGCGCGTACGTTCTCCTCTTGAATATGCGAACGATATATAAACTTCTCTTGTTATTATATTTATTATTATCGCGGGGTAACGCGCCTTTTCTACGACTACGGGATATCTAAGCCCTCGTCGCCGAGTCATCCGACACCTGGTGAACGCACCACCTTATCACCGAACGCCCGCGAACACGCCCGCGACGTTGCGCCCTCGCTTTCTTTTTCTTCTTCTTCTTCCTCTTCTTCTTCTTCTTCTTCTTCTTCTTCTTCTTCTTCTTCTTCTTCTTCTCCTCCTTTACCTTCTCCTCCTCCTCTTCCTTTTTCTCTCTCTCCTCTTCTTCTTCTTCCTTTCCTTCTTATTTTACCCTCTTCGCTGAGAGTAATTCTCACTAACGCGTTAAACTTAATAATCCACCTAAGATTCGTTCCCTCGTCTTCCTTTTTGTCCTCCTCCTTGTTTTCGTTCTCCTCCTTGTCTTCTTCGCCGTCGTCGTCGTCGTCGTCGTCGTCGTCGTCGTCGTCGTCGTCGCCGTCGCTGCCACTACCTTTATCGTCCTTATTCTCGTCGTTCTCGTTCTCGTCCTCCTCGTCGTCGTCCTCGTCTTCGTCGTCGGTGTTGCTCGTCTTACGATTACCACCCGCGACATCCGTATGACAAATCATGTTTCACAGACTTTTATGAGGTTCTCGCATTCTCTCTTCCCTCTCCGTCGTACCTGGTCCAACGTTCGGATCCAGCATGGAACGACGTCGAGGGACGTTGCTCTTAAGATTGAAAAAGAAATAGACGTTCCCTCCTGCTAGAACTTTCAACCCTTTTTCCTTCTCTCTTTCTCTCTCTCTCTCTCTTTCTCTCTATATCTATCTATCTACTTATCTATTTATCTATCTATCTATCTATTTATCTATCTATCTATCTCTTTATCTGTCTATCTCTCTTAATCTGTCTGCCCCTGTGACTCTCTCTCCCTCTCTCTCTCTCTCTCTCTCTCTCTCTCTCTCTCTCTCTCTCTCTCTCTCTGTCTCTGTCTCTTTCGATCAACGAGGACTACATCGATTTGGAATGAAAAGGGGGTCACGGGTAGCGTGTTGCCGTGTTCCCGATATCCTCGAGGAAGGACCAAAGGGTCGTCGTCGAAGCTCGTGTTTTGTTTTCGTTCCCTTTTAAACGGTAATACAGGAGTACATCGATTGAGGGTGAAGGGAAAACGGGTCACTGGGCTGCCACCACACGGCTCGCGACTCGACTCGACTCGACTCGTATCTACTCGACTCGACTCGACTCGTCTCGACTCAACTCGACTCAACTCGACTCAATTCGACTCGTTCGCTCGCTCGCTCCCTCGTTCGTTCGTTCGTTCGCTCGATTTCCTTCTTTTCGCGATTCTCGCGCTCTTCTCCGGCTTCGATTATGCGCTTTTCCCTTATCGTAAAGGAAATGGGAGGTCAACGGCTCTTCTTCTTGCCTTTATCATTCCAAACTTTTCAATTTTTCCTTATCGTTATTCTCCTTCGTTTTCTTCTTTTGCCCCTTCGCAATCAGGACAATTAATTATAAAATGTTATAATTAAACGTGGATGGAAATGTGCGCGCATTCTCTATAATTTAACGATTTAAAAGATAAAGGACGAGTTTGAAGCACAAGAACGAGGCTTGACCCTTTTAGCGATCTCATTCCTCGTATCCTCGTAATCACGATGATATATAACGTAGATTTAACGTCCTTTATTTTCTTCTTCTTACTCTATCCATCCATCTATCAACCTTCTTCTTGTCCAGTCCACGTTCCGTTCCGTTCCCTGTTAATCCGTAGAGTAATAATAAACGCACTGCTAATTTACACTGGCTATTTAAACGGACCAAAATAAAAGGAAATGGATAAATTCAAAAAAAAAAAAAAAAAAGAAAAAAAAGAGAAAAAGAAAAGGAGAAAAAAAATGGGGAAAAAGAAAATAAAAGAGAAATATAAAAAAAACAAGAAAGGAAAAAAAACCCCCCGGGAAACGAGCTTCTATAGATAAAGGAAGAATAAGAGGAGGAGAAGGAGGAGGAGGAGAAGGAGGAGGAGGAGAAGAAGGAAGAAGAAAAAAGAAGAAGAAGAAGAAGAAAAATAAGAGGTAGAGAGAGAGAGCAAATGAGGTTCCGCGCTTCACGTGGCGGCCGACGCGATGATGGCGCTATCCACTGTGAGCCCTCTCCGCAGTGACCGCGACACCCACACACACTCGAGATATATCGCGCTCCTATCCGGGATCGTTCCACACCCATGAGAAAATTTGCTTCCTCGAGCGAGGTAATCCGTTACCTCGCCAGTTGTAGTCAAATGTCTTCTAATATCTTCAAGATTATTATTATTATTATTATTATTATTATTATTATTATTATTATTATTATTATTATTATTATTATTATTATTACTATTATTAATTTCCTTTTCAATCGAAAACAACGAGCTATCTTAATATATCCTTCTATATTTCTCTTTCTTTCTCTTTCTCTCTCTCACTCTCATTCTCTCACTCTCTCTCACCCTCTCTCACCCTCTCTCAACCTCTCTCTCTCTCTCTCTCTCTCTCTCTCTCTCTCTCTCTCTCTCTCTCTCTTTCACTCACTCTCTCTCTTTCTTTCGATACTCGTCCAGAGAAAAAAAAATACAGAACGGATTTCGATCAGCTTCGAGGTTAAAAACACCCACCGTTCTCGAATCTCGCGAGAAGTAGGCACGCGAGAGCACGCACGCGAGAAAACACGTTAGAATCACACCCTCGCGGAAATATTAAACCCCTGACGAAAAATATCCAATTCCGAGTATATCTTCGCGATAGACATCCAAAGTGAAGAAAACTGGTCCGAGCTCTGTCTTTCGTTGCACCTTTATTCCCTTAACTATTCCTCCCCATAACTCTCTCTCTCTCTCTCTCTTTCTCTCTCTCTCTCTCTCTCTCTCGGTCTCTCTCTCTTTCGCCTCTTTTCTTCTTTTCCTCTTCTTTTCCTTTCCTCTTCTTTTCCTTTCCTCTTTATACTATTTTTTTTCTCTTTTCTTTTTTACTTTCTTCGAACGCGCGACGACGACGACCCTCGAATGCGCTTCCCTCGAACGGCCACGATTATATCCGTCGACTCGGCTCGCGATTGGTACTACTCTCGCTGACGATACGGTGTCCTTCTCTCCCTTTCTCCCACTACTCTGTTCTCTCTCTCTCTCTCTCTCTTTCTCTCACCCTATCTCTCTCACCCTATCTCTCTCTCCCTATCTCTCTTACCCTATCTCTCTCTTTCTCTCTCTGTCTCCCTGTCTAGTTCCTCCCTCCCTCGAACCACCGCACCTTCAGACGCCCCTCCCTGCAACGAAACGAACGATGCCGACGAGAGCCGATCCCGACAGGTGACTTTTAATTTCCCCTCCCTCCCTCCCACCCTCCCTCCCTCCCTCCCTCCTCCCTGCCCTGTCTATTTTCCTTTTTTTTTTTCTAACCAACTCCAAATCTTATTGCGTTCCTTTTATTTTTTCTCTTTTCCCTTTTCCTTTTTTTCTTCTCCTTTCTTTTCCCTCCCTTTTTCTTCTATTTTCTTTTCCATTTTTTTAAGCTCTCTTACATTAGTCGAAAAACATAAAAATAAAAAAAAAAAAAAAAAAAAAAGAAAAGAAAGGAAATTCTGCGTTCCTTACTTACGTTAGAAGACAAATTCTAACGTAATTATTTCGACTAAGCGTTTATATATCGAATAGAGACCGTTATAGATAAATGGAGATAGAGATAGAGATAGCGATAGAGATAGAAAGAGAGAGAGAGAGAGAGAAAGAGAGAGAGTGGGATAGTACATTTTACTGGGAAGGAAGAGAGGAAAAGAGAGATAAAGAGGGAGAGATAGGAAGGGATAGAGAGAGAGAGAGAGAGAGAGAGGGGTACTTTGTCGCACTTGCGTGCGAACGCGGTTGCGCGAGAGAACGAACAAACGAACGTCTCGTCCGTCCACCATCAGCCACCACCCCCCGCTCTACCTTCCACCCTTCATCATCCCAGCCCCTACTCTCTACCCTCGTCCCATCTCATTCTCCACCCTTCCTGACCGCTCCCACCTGACCACCAACCCCCCACCATAGCTACTGTCGGCTTACCACTACCACCGATATAACGACGACGCGGCTACCGTCGACGAATTCCGAGCAAATGCGTGCGACGGATCTAACGATGTGATGGTGTGATGGTAATAGTGGTGGTGATGAAAAAGATGACGGTACTGGCAGTGATGGTGGTAGTAGTGATGGTGGAGGTAGTAGTAGTGGTGGTGATGGTGGTGGTGGTGGTGATGGTGGTGGTGGAGACTACCCTAGGAGGGGCGGGAAGACGTAGGAAAGGGCGCTTGTCGCCCCGAGGTACGTCACCCTCTCTCTCTCTCTCTCTCTCTCTATGTATATATATATATATATACATATATATATATATATATATATTATATATATCTGTTTAACCACCCCTTTCGCCGGTCCACAAACCGTGCGATCCACTAGACGATCGAAAACGTTCTTCTTCTTCTTTTTCTTCTTCTTTTTCTTCTTTTCCTTTTCTTCTTCTTCTTCTTCTTCTTCCTCTTCCTCTTCCTCTTCTTCGTTTTCTTCTATTTCTTTTATTTTCTCCCTTACATATCTCGCGATCGTTTCGTCGATCTATTTCGAACGATCGAGCGCAATCCCTCGTGATGATGGAGGAAAGGAAGAAAACTGGGGAGGAGAGAATAAAAGATAATTAAAAAATGTGCGAGGGAGGGAGGAAAAGAAAAAGAGAAAGGAAAAAAATAAAATCAAAAATGAGTCAGGCCAGATTTTAATAAATAATGCGGGATGCGGTGTAAGGTACGCGCCAATCGCGAAAAGAGATCGGTCTTACGTCGCGGCTCTACACGCCATTATTGATCGATTCGTTAGCCAATCGAACGAATCGCTCTTGGTGGCGCTATTCTCACTCCTGTCTTCTGGCGGCAAATTCGAAAACGTTTTTTTTACTCAAATCATCGTCATATTCCCTTCCTTTTCTCTTTCTTACTTCTACCAATGTTATCACTCGCGAAAGAAATACATTTTCTCGAATGTGTTTATGTGTTTCTTCTTTTTTTTATTTTTTTTTTTTTTTAATTAACGTTATTACGAAGTAAACGAATAAATTCGTATTAAAATTTAATTTACAGCATAAATTTATATCCATAAACATCTATTTTTACATGCAGTCTTACAAAGAACAATTTATTCAATTTATAATGTTCCTTCCTACGCACATTATATAGAATTTTATCGATTTTTTTTTTTTTTGGTCGTTTTCATCGTTTTCTATATAATGTCAAATTTATGACATAACTTATGATAAATGCATACGGTGTTCATTTATTCCTATTATGTTCTTCGATATGTAAATAAATGTGAACGTATTAATTGAAGACATTGTTTTGATTATAATCGTTAAAATTCTTGCTTGGATAATATTGATAGTCTCTCAGAATTATATATAATTAATTGCACTTGCATTTCTTTAGAGGTATCTCTTTATCAACTGTGTATACTTTTTAAATAATAATAAAATACAAAATGTATGTGTGTGTATGTGTACATGTGCGTGTCACGTTTTAAAATTATTACTGCTTCACATCACACATACTTTATGGGGTAGGTTTTGCTTAATGTATTCTGATTACATGGATGATCACGCGTTATTTGCGCGAAATATATTTATACCAACTCTGTATGCATGTATATATGTATATATATATATATATATATAAATATATACATACATATGTGTGTGTGTGTGTGTGTGTGACATATTTTAAATTACAAGTAAAAATGTGTTCAGTACTTTAATATTTATATAAATGAAAAATGATGCAATTTTTGTCAAAAATCAATACACACCCTTTACAGTGTGTGTAATAAATGCAGGTACCATCATCATGTCGCTTATGATAAAAAAAAAAAAAGAAAAGAAGAAGAAAATATTATAATGCCTATATAATATGCATTATATGCCACGATAAAAAGATTTCATAAAACGTTCAATAATTTATGATTAAATTGTTTGTTAAAATCTCTCTGCCAAATATGGGCAATAATAAATTCGTTTAAAAACAATATCAATCGAAATTTGATATGATCAAAATTTTTACAAATACAATCGACATTACCATATATGAGATATTAAAAAAGAATACTCTAGATAATGGTTCTACCGATTAAAGAGGAAGAAACAGTCGAAAGAAATTACTTTTTCCTTCTTCTCACATACGACATATATACTAAAGAAAAAAAAAAAAAAAAAAAGTATGTAAAATAATACGATTCAAACGCATTAATGAACTTAATTTATAATAATATATAACTATGGATGTTTATACACACATGGGGTCTTTTGTATTTTTATCTAGATATTTTCGAAAGCCTATATAAATTTAAAACATTTCTGTTTGTCGTGAGGTATTCTCGTTTTAAATAATATCGAATCTGCACGATATTGCGTATTTAAAAGTGGCATATATCCAAATACCTAAAATATAAAAATTTCATGATCGACCAAGTCGAAAGAATCATTCATGAAAATTTTCAAGATTAACTCACCTGAGAAAAGAAATTAATACACCTGTGTCTTTCTTGAAAATGAGTATCATCCTCTGATAATGAAACAGGACAGCCAGGACATCTGAATGTCCATCTGGATGTTACCTAAATGATTAAAAATTTATTAAAAAAAATCCTTTGTGCTTATTCGAAAATAATTATAATAAGGATAATTCTCTTACTTTAACGGGTGGTTTTCTAGTGACATGTGATATTAAAAAGTTCATGGCTATGTCTTCGCAGTTCATATATTCGTCGACTTTATCTCGTATAGCTTGTGGCAACCAGTATGTGTATAAATATGTATAATGTTTGTGTATAAAAGCAGCACCAGTTAAAACCATTGACAATTCACAGGAATAATTTGAATTATAATTCCACGAATTATGAAAATTTGGATCCCATGCATGAAATCGACCAGGAAATCCTACAACGCGATCCCGGTGTTCTCTCCACACCCTGGACAAAAACAAAAAAAAAGAATCATTAATACAATAATATTATTATCAATAAAATAAATTTTTTTTTCCAAATAAATAATACACGAGACATATCGCACGTACCTAAAACCAAACATAATCTCGTCGTGTCTGAGATGAGCGTCGTCGTCTATAGACAATACAGCTTCAGTTTCTATGGCATCGAATGGAAGAAATCTATTGTTTAAACTATTCCTTGAAGCTTTAATTACCTGTATTTGTATAAATAAAAAATTTATAATAATAAATCGAGTTTTTGTTTTTCTTCTCAATTCGTGTCATTAAATAATATTGAAAGATAAGGAAAAGAAAAAAAAAAAGAGAATACGTACATGTATAGGAACTCCAATATCCGGCCATTTTAAATCTTCTACAGGTGGTTTTGGACTATTCCATACAACAAGGACTTTGTTCAAATATGGCAACCCATAAAGTCTCGCTAATGAATTAATAAGAACTTGTTCTCGTTCGTAAGTGAGCATAACTATTGTAAATTGTTCCCTAGGATAATTTCCACCTAAAGCTTCGCTAAATTCTTTACCTGCACCTCCAGAACCTTTGCCAATTGGTCTAAATCCCATTTCAGATCCTATCATTTAAAGATGTAATAAATTTGTAAATTAAATATTATTAAAATTATTATCTCTAATGTTTATTTCATATACCCAGAAACTTTGCATCGCTCGGTAGAATTGTGTCGAATGGTAATTGTGGATAAAGATTGAATGGATTCATCCAATCATTCCAAATTTCATGGCCCTGAATTAACATGGTAGTATAATTTCTTTTAAAAGAAGGTGATGCATAAGGTGGTTCTAAAGGACCCAAACTTTCTTCTGCTTCAGGTTCAGCTATTATAGTATCAGCTTTCAAAGGCTTTGAGAGTAATATAAAAAATAAAATAAATTATATAAAAGATAAACGGAAATTGATCTTTTTACATTTGATATTATATTTCCTTACCACAAAGCTTTCATTAAAGACACTTGGACTAGCAGCTTGTGGTGCAGGTAATGGAGGTATACCAAGTCTATCTCTAATAGTTGCGATAATAGAATCTACTACACCTTGAGCAGTGCTTAAATAATGTTCCCATATTAGTCTGCCCTGTCTGCGCATCGCTAAAAGATCGCTGTCTGGTACAGCGCGCAATAAAAAATGCATTTCTGTTACTCTAACCTGTAAAAAAGTTTTCATTGAATTGATTTTGTAAATAAAAAATATAATTCCTCTTTAATATATAATCTCCATTTCTATGTATATGCATATATTTACTTTGGGTAAAAAGATCGCTGCTTTACGCCAAGCTATTACTTCGTTATAACTCAATAAAATTTGATCACCACCTAGAATAACTGGTATTGCTCCAGATCTTAAAGCTTCATATAATCGTGCCTGTATAGATGATGTAGTTATCAAAGCAGCATTACTTGGTGCTAAAATCAAAGCAAAGGTAGATTCCTTTAATATAGATCTTCTTGAAGAATCAGTCCCACAAAGAGACCAATCAAGAACTTCAACAGTTTTTCTTTCTTCTGATGCTGGTATACATTCAAATTGGATGAAAAATTTATCTAGAGTAGTCCCACTATTCATATCATTTAAATGTTGCATAATAAAAGCATCTAAATTATTTTCATCCATATTTAATTTTTCCAAGTCTACTTCTGTATCATTATTTTGATATAATGTAGAAGGACCCTTAGAACCTTTCATCTCTCCTTGAAATGATAATAAATATTTTCTTCTTGCAGGTAACATCTGCGCGCAATCTTGCCAAACGTCACCACCAGGTGGGCCCAAAATTGGAGGTATGATTAAATCAAAACCTTCGCGGAATTGATTTCTATAAAAAGTTGATTGCACTATTATGGCTCTGCTAGTATTTTGTTTAACAGAAATGCTTCCAGAATTAACCGACAAATCTCTACGTGCAAGATTTAACAATATATGGTTTCTACCATCCCCTCCCCAATATGGAAGATCTTGTAATTTATTAACGTCCAAAGCTGTCCAGAATTTTGGATAACCTTGTTGTTGTATTGACAATGCTTCTCCAATTAAAACCACATAAATGCATGCTTCTGCAGGATTTCTTGTAAGATGAGGATTGTAACCTAATGAATGAAAGAAGAATAAACAAACAAAAATATATATATATTTACACAAATTCAACCATAACAGAAAAATCAATTTATACATATTATTTACCTAAAGTCTGTTTAATGGTAGTTTTTAGAAAACCATCCACGTCCCATCCTGTATTGACTACAGAGAATTGATCAGGATCATATAAATATACTGGAAAACCACTTGTCAATACACATCGACTATGATCAAAACAATTGTACATTCTACATGGACTTGGATCAGTACTTGCTAAAGTTTCAGGAATAACATTTGCTAATATTCTTTTAGGTGGTGCTAATTCTGGTGTATTTCTTTCGACTGCTTCTCTTTTTGCTACTTGTGCTTGTTCTACGCTAATCTTCAGTCTATCAAGATCTCTTTGTTGATGTAATAATTCTTGCTTCAAGCTCTCTATTTTTTGAGTCAAGCCGGTAAATTCAACCTGAAGTTTATGTCTTTTGGCACCCAAATCTCTGAGTTCATTAGTTACTGATACCTTAATACGTAACATTTCTTCTATTCTCATCTTTAATTCTGATGCCTTCATAGAAGTAAATTCTTCAAAAACTTCTAATGTTGAATAAGTGCGATAAATATCTATATCCGGAGAAACAGATTCTACCTGGAAAACAATTAAAGGAATATTTATGAATATATAAAAGTTAATTTATATTAATAAATTGTAAAATGTAAACATTTAAATATTTAACGATTATGTAATACCTCTGATAAATAATAATGTGTAAGTAATGGTACAATAAAAAGAATAGTACAAGCTAATATTATAATTCTAGATAGTTTAATCTGAGCTATCCAGTGACAAACTTCCTTTCCTGATCCATCTTGATGACAAGATGGAATATTGACAACGGAGTTTGAATTTTTTCCCAGCATCCTGAATTTATACCGATATAAAGTTTTGTTCATAATTATTCAAATGCCAGTATCGCAGAAATGTTATGCGTAATACTTGCATGTACCTATCAAAATAGAAAATAATATATATATATATATATATGTATATATATATACATATATGTTACATACAATTTTTATATAATAGTTATTATACAAAAAGAATACAGTACTTACTTGATATCACTTAATTGAGATTCTAACATTAAATATTATCATGTGTACAATAACATTATATTCACGTGTATTACAAATAATTTACAAGTATATAATGACAATCACGATTGTCATCTATGTCCAGTTGAAAAAATCATATTTCTTCAAAATATTCATAGTATCACAGAACTAATAAAACATATATTTCTTTATAAAACTTATTCATGATTTATATTGAAAAATACTATTAGATATTATTGTTTATACTATGTATATTAATAAGAGAAAAAAGAGATATATATATATATATATATATATATATATATATATATAAAATAGTAGTAGGAGAGAGAGAGAGAGAGAGAGAGAAAGAAACTGAAAAAAATAAAAAGATTATTGATCTTGAAATGTCAATTAATCCGGTAACACGACCACTAAGAATTCTTGGGTAGCATGTTTACATATTACTTTAGATGCAATGTAGAACTTACTGTACGGGTTCTTTTATGGATTATATGTGATCACACATATATATATATATTTATATATATATATATATATATATATATATATATATATGTTTATATATATATACATATATATATATATATATAAATATTATATAGATAGCTCTTTAAAGCATGAATCACGCATCATGTATCAAGAGAGAACGAAGCCAGTAGTAAATACGAATTGAATAAAATGTCGCGTAATATCACGTGACATTATTCTGAGATATTATTCTATAAAATTTTGTTACTTAAATGATCTTTTAAATGTCTATTTATAATATCCATTCTCGTTTGTATAATTTGAAAAAAAAAGTTTGCCATGTTGAGTCGATAAATCGACGAAAAAAAAATGGCGAATTTTCGTACGTGAATAGTTTTCAATTTCCCGCTATTTATACATAACCAAAAATTTTTTCGTATTAACGTTGGATGGCACTGTTATACGTACTATGCCATTTTCTGTACATTCGGTTTTTCTTCCAATACTCCATAAAATATGCGCATGTTCATGTCAAGTGTAGTGTGAGGGGAATAATATTTTGGCTTTCGGGGGCCTAAAATTAGCTAAAATGGTAAGCCTTGAAACGATTCGTCAATGGTTATTACTGTTAGAATATTCATAGATAATTTATAAGAACTTGAACGGTTAATTATCTAACATACGTATATTGTCTTTCGTAAAACGTGAAAATAACCTATTTCTAGCCGATGTCAATAATCTTTTTATATAAAGTATGAATAAGATGTAGAAATTTTTGAAAATTAACTTGCAATTTTTTTTTTCCCTTTTTACGTATACTTAAATACTTTAGATTTTATACATTTGCCTGACATTAGTATCCTATAAGTTTTGTTAGGTCATCATTTCAAAAATAAGTTTCTGTTGATACAAATTATAAGAAAAATTATACGTAATTGTCAAACTTGTGTTATTTAATAAATTTCCAAAACTTTTATTAATTGATATATTTATAAAATAATTCTCGTCATAAATAGTGTATGTGTGTCTGAAATGTTTTCTTGTTTAAAGGAAAAAGAAAATGAAAAAAAAAAAAGAAAAAAAAAAAAAGTGTACTCCATTCCAATAAAATCAGTTTTGATATTCCGCTTAAAGTTATTATATAATTTTTGTTTACAGCATAAATTAAAATTTTCACAAAGAGACAAAGTTAAAAAGTTCATAACATTTACACAAACCGGTGAGCAAACTGCAATTTATTGTTTAACTCAAAACGATTGGAAGTTAGACCTGGCGAGTGATAATTATTTTCAAAATCCTGAAGCATATTACAAAGAACCTAAAAATTCTGTAGATAAGAAAAAATTGGAAATATTATTTAGTAGATATCAAGGTAATATGTTAATGTATATGCCTAATAGTTTATTTTTGTTGTACAAGGATTTTTTTGACATGCTTGTTATCATTTACAACAGATCCAAATGAACCTGACAAAATTACTGCAGACGGTATAATGAAATTTTTAGATGATTTGGGCTTAAGTCCAGAAAGTAAATTAGTTTTAATTATTGCATGGAAATTCAGAGCAGAAACTCAATGTGAATTTACTAAGGACGAATTTATGAATGGCATGATGGATTTAGGGTAAAAATCAAATCAATGATATTAGTTATAATTTGTTTTATTCATTGATTACAAGTCCAATATTATCAGTTTTATTATTATTTTAAAATCAAGTTGTGATAATTTTATTTCAGAGTGGACAGTATAGATAAATTAAAAGCACGATTAAATAGTTTAGAGAATGAATTGAGAGATCCGCAAAAGTTTAAAGATTTTTATCAGTTTACATTTAATTATGCAAAAAATCCAGGACAAAAGGGACTGGATCTTGACATGGCAATTGCATATTGGAATATTGTATTGGATGATAAATTTAAATACCTCCAATTATGGTGTCAATTTCTTCAAGTAAGGCACATTCTCTATTACTAAAGGATATTAATTTTACATTAGATTTAAAATGTGATATTATCTATTTAAGAAAATAAACATAAGTATTTTTAAAGATTTATATAAAAAATATTATTCCAGGAACATCATAAGCGATCAATTCCAAAAGATACATGGAACTTGCTATTAGATTTTGCGCTTATGATTAATCCTGATATGAGTAATTATGATGAAGAAGGAGCATGGCCAGTATTGATTGATGATTTTGTAGAATGGGCACAGCCTCGCGTTCGTCAATCTCTCTAACATCCTTTTGATATATCTTTCTCCAATATAAAGAGCTTTATTTATTCGATTACACACGCAAATAATATTCAAATAAGATTTGAGTATATAACATATATCCCTGATAAAACATGACGTTACTTTTGTATAGTATCTATGATTTAAAAGAGAAGTCCACTAATTATCATATATTGCATGCTTGTAATCTGAATTATTAAATCTTGAGTAATTTTTTTTGAAATACTGAAGTCTGGTAATTGTCTTACGTATATAAAAACTATTTCAAAATGTATTGATTTAACGGAAAAGAAAAAAATGCAAAGATATTTTTATATCATTTTATATCAAGTACACATTCTAGATTGTACAAAATTGTTATATATTTAATTTGTGCTCTACATATCGTTATTCTCTCAATTAATGGCGCGAAGTACATTGAAAAAGCTTATCTTAGTGAATGTACTGTACAAAGTAATATGTTATGTATTATGTTTATATAGGAACACGATAATTCTAAGCGATGAGACTAAACTACCAAAGGTATTTGCAAGCATCTTTCAGAATATAAATTCGTGTGTTCCTTTAGGAGTATCAGGCTTGAAAAGCAACAAATTATAAGAGAGACTCTAGTTAATGTTTTCTGTAGATAGTATTTGCTAGGGATTGCGTTGTTGAGAATTGTTATAAAATGAACAGCCACACTTCTATGCTATTCTTGTAATATATATATGTATATATATATAACTTAAATTTATATATATATATATACACATATACAAAAACAAAAAGAGAAAAAATATGTATTGTAAACAAAATATCTTGGCACAGTTATACTTACATATTGAATTTTTCTATTTAATAACAAGACAAAGAAAATTTTATTTTTATCATTATTATACGCATTGTAACTCTGAAATGACATAGAACATGAAAAAAAAAAAATAAATTTGCTTTTGTTTTTTTATATAAATGTAGAGCATTAGTTCTATTTTTAGTTAAAAAAAAAAAATAATAATAATAACAATAATATGTTTAAACCATTAGATTGTCAAATACTTTTAATATTTGTTGTGATTATTTAATGATAGAATGATTTATTATTCTATTTAAACAACATAAATCTAATGTAGAACATTTTTTATAAACGTAATGTTGTATGTATAAATTCATAACAATTGTAACTATTTTGAACTTTATTCAGTATAAGAAAAATTATTCAGAGCATACATTATGATTAAGAAATTAAAATAATATATTTAAAGCAACCATACGAAGGTGCGACATAGAAGTTAGTAAAATTTGAAATATCTCGCGTCCACAAATTTCAGATTTTTAAATATATTTTATAAAACTACTTAATATATTAGATGGGGAAAAAAAAATAAAATAAAAAAAGAAAAAGAAATTCAGGATATGTAACTACTGTAAGAAAAATCCAATTATATACAATTAAAATGAAATTTGCACAGAGCTAAAAATTTCATGGAAAATATGTATATCATCTTTGTAAACACATAATACTACTAAAAAATTAATTTTGAAGATGTGCAATATTACTTTTTTAGTAGTCTCATGATTATCATGTAGAGCAACAGGTTTTAATGATAAAAAGAATGTAAATATTGTAAATAAATATCGATCTTAAATCTATTTTATTTAGTTTATCTCGTCCGATAAAAATAAAAAAAAATTCAATAACCACTAATATGAGATTTACTTAATATCATCTCCTCATGGTAGATATAAAATATTTTTTAATAATAAATTATGAAAAAGAAAATAAGTATGTGTGCGTGTATTTTATATATATATATATATATATATATATAATTTTGTATATCCATTATTTGAAAATCAAATTTGATTGTATTTGATGTAAAATTATTATTAATCTTTAAAGTAATTACTACATTTGCATAAATTATCAGGATATAAGAAAGCCAATTCATATTGATAGGCTTGCATATTATAACAATTATTCACGATTTCATGACTATACCAATCGCACAAAGATTCCAACTTTTCAATTGATGTCTGGACGGATTTACAAGCAAATATTATTACTTTATTAAATGGTTAAATTAAATGGAAACTTGTAATGATTATTTTGAATCTTACCTGTGCAACGACTAATCCTCGATTCGGATGTTTTAAAGTACTATGCCCGTGTGAATCAAATAAAGTAACCTGAGAATGAAAAAGTACAATTTATATATATATATATTGTACTTTTAATAAATAAAAATCGTACCTTGTATGTTATTTCTTGAAATATAAAAAGTACTGTACGACCGCATGTTATAAGCAACATGAATAAGTTAGTAGACTGAGGTTCTTTATACCAATCAACTAAAAAGCTTTTTATATTATTATATAAACTTCTTTCAATTTTTTCATGGAAAACATGAAATTTCTATGTGATAAAAGGTACAAAATATTTAATTATAAAATAAATATAGGTGCGGATATATATATATATATATATATATAAACAAAAAAACAAAAATTAATCACTTCTATCTATTTTTAACAAATATATTTTTTTTTGTTATCCAATATAAATATATTTGTTATACCCATTCTTTTAATATAGTTAGACCTCTGCCACCATATTTTAAAGCCTCTTCAGTGTTAAGATATGGATGAGGAATAAGTTTTTGGCTTATAATCCATGCATGTGTTGCATTGCCTTCTACCATAGCTTCAGCCATAATAACAGTCAATTCTGGACAATTTTCTACGTCGCAAATTAACATGTTCCCTTGAGATATACGTTGTGCCACAAGAAGACATATCAATGTACATGCTTCACTTACTGTGAAGTACAAATATAATTTTCTCAAATTTTCATTATTTTCATAAAATAATTTATTCTTCTATGTATATATATATATACATATGAAATATATGTATATATAAGATAATGATCTGATTACTTCCTTGTCCTGGTGGATAACGACTTTGTGAAAATTCTGGATGGTACCAATATAAGTTGACATCATTATTAAAAAAATCTTTCACAAATGTAGGAAAATGATGGCTAAATAATGGTGGCAGAGTCATAACTTTTATAAAACAATTCTTTTCATTAATTTTGTGTTCGAAAGCATTTTTCTTTGACTTAAATTTAATTTTTTTTAATGGGAAATTTGGTATTTCTAGACATTTTGATTATTGGACATAATGAAGTTAGTTAGTTCTAAAGCTAGTTAATTATACATTCAGATTGTTTCATGAAAAATAATGGTACTAAATATACTTTTCAATATTAATGAAATTACATAATACTTGATCACACGTAAATGTTTGTAAAAATATCGTATTTACATATGAATATTATAATATTACAAATGAGTAAATTTAGTTTATACAAGTTATATTTTCATTATTATTTTTATTATCTGGATAACCAGCCATTTCATAAAAACAGTACAATTTTTCTCAAAGAAACATTTGAGTCATTATATTTTAAATATCCATCATCTGTATCAGAGAGAGAAAGAGAGAAAGAGAGAGAGGGTGAGAGAGAGAGAATGAGAGAGAGAGAGAGTGAGAGTAACATAATTATTATATTTATCCATTTCTGATAAAGAAAAACTTCCATATATATATTTTTTTTTATTTATACTATAAGCTCCTCTTTCCCTCTTTTTTTATTAAATTATATTCTATAGCGGGGATCTTCAGCATCGATGGATTATTTTATAGTATACTGACAGTATGTAAATTTATTGTTATATATAAAAAAAAAAAAAGAAAAGAAAAAAAAATGAGAGAAAAGAAACTTTGTTTTGGCCAGTAATATTTGTTGTGCTTGTAATGATAGTTCTACTACTTGAATTTATGCAACATTTATGTAGGATGGCACAAAATTTAATAAAGAGATGTTGCATGTCATTATTACATATATGTTCTATTACATTAATGTATATCATAAATAAACTATTTGAGCTTCATAATGATACAGTCACATGTTTATTTCAGAAATAATAACATAATAAGTTTTATATTTTTTTGTTTTTTTGTTTTTTTTTTTTCATTTTTTTTTTTTCCATAAAAGAAGTCTGTATGTTATATAGCTTGAATTTATTGATGTAATTTATCAATTATTCAGCCATCAACATGACGTAATAAGCGCCTTTAAAATGCAGTCTCAAAGTATATAACACTTCTGATGAAGCATGGAGTAGACAGCCCCGCATATATCATATTCAAAATTTATATTCATTTAAATCGTCAAATATTTTGCTAATATCATTTCATATTTAACTAAAATCTTTAACATTGCATTGTGTTGTTAATGAAAAATGTTCCATATAATTATTGCTATGTAATATTTGTGTAAGCAGAAAAATGATTTATAGTTATTTTTTGATGGTCTGCATAAACCATATACATAGGTACGAATATGACTCATTTTTTTTATAAGAGTTTAGTATTTTAATTATTTCTCTAAATTATTATTATTATTATTATTATTATTAATATTATTATTATTATTTTTGTTTTTTTTTCTCTATGAATAAAATAATATTTTTCTAAATGTATTTTACATCTGCATGACACAATGTCATTATCATTACAGTGCAATTAAAAACTCATTCTTAAAGTTTGTTTTTCTTATTACGATGTTAGCCAAAAATTGTGTTAAATCTGAAAAGAATTCATGATTTGTTCGTCAATATCCTAAAAAAAATATTTTTCATATTAAAAAATTTAATCATTAAAGTTTTATAAAATCTGATTTTTTTTTTCTTTTTTTTTTTTTACTATAAATTTTATATATCCCTTATTAACTTATATTAACATATTTACAATCTTTATATTGAATGAATAATATATGTAAAAAGGTATGATATAAATATGAAAAAATATAATATAAATATGAAAACTAAAAATATTAAAAACTTTAATATTCTATGCGTCATCTTTCTTCTACTTACTATTAATCAAAATGTCCTATATGCTCCTGGATAACGTGCTGGTATGCTTGCAATTATATGATGCGACCAATGATTCCAACCCAAAGTCCTTGTAATTTCTATACACTTTTCATCTATTTCTTTTATTGGTTTTTCTTCATAAAAACGTGTCAATAATTTCAAATATCGTCCATAATGATTATTAATGTGTGCGTGCCACAAAGATAATATAAGCACCTATAAAAAAAAAAAAAAAAAAAAAAAAAGAAAAACAATATATGATGTGTGCTTATGTCATTTTAACAAAACAAAAATGTACCTTATTGTCAGTTGGTTCAGCAAATTTCTGTACTTCTTGCCATATGTTTGTAACACCCTCAAGTAAATGCTCATGAGAACCATTACCATCACCTTTTTTTGTACCATGGACGTATAATCGTGCTAACGCACAACCTTTTTTCACTAACGCTTCTACTAATGTATTCTTTTGTTTATCCATTGTTGCTTTAATTTTGGCAGCATCAGATCGTTGATCAGTCTTTAGGCCATAGTAGGCTAATAGTTTATCCTGATCAATATTTGTAATGACAACATCTGCAACGGCTAATATTTGATTGGCAAGAGCAATAGAATTTTCAGATACATCATCATGAGGTACATGACGACGTGCTTCAGGAGAATCCAATGATGTCAACATGGCAGTATGTACAGGCAAGTGATCTGAGAAGATGTTCTTCAATTCTCCATATAATAAGTTTGCATATTCACCTGGTTCTGTTATAAGAATATTTATATTATATACATGTATACAACACAATTAAACGCATTTAATTTATATTAGATACACAATATATAACATGATGTTTACAAAATTAATGTTTTTTTTTTTTTTTTTTTTTTTTTTTTATGAATGTCTACAAAATACCTAAAAATGTTTTTGTAATTTATAAGATCATTGATAATATTTATTGCACGTCAAGGATACGAAAATATTAAAATTCACTTGTAAATTATGGACAAAGTAAAACAAATGTATATTATGGACAAATCAAGAAATGGAAAGAAACATATTAAATATATTTGTAATTTAACATGCAAAAAATGTATATGCAAATGAATTATTGAACTTGTTGACAGAGAAGGAGAAAAAAATCGCCATTTGTATCATACGGCGATAAGAATTGTAAATTAAATTTCAAGAAGAACATATCACAATATATATCGTAATAACTTACGTATAGATGGTGCTATATGAAGAAGCAAAACCGGGAAAAAAATATAGAAATTTATACGTCGATGAATGAAATAAAAAAATAATGTAATATTATGACTATTATGAAAACTAATACATATATATACATATATATATATATATATATATATATATATATATATATATATATATATATATAAACAGAGATTGTGAAAATAAAATATTGAATTACCAAGTTTTGCAAGCCATGTGCATTTTAAATCTCGTAGCGCTTCATTGTATTCATCCCATTTGGTAGTTTTTTCCTTATCTGATTTAGATGTAGCATTACTTGATTTTTTAGTAGGTTCAGATAATATGTATTTAAACGTATAGTAATCTACTTTCCTATCCAACTCATCTTTACATAATGTAATTGTACCTTGTAGATAACTACCAAGAGTAGCACCTTTGGATATCCTTGAAAGAGATAAAACAAAAATTATTATTATTTTTTTTTTAATACAAATATTTGTACATCTTTTCAATTATTCTTATTATATATGATAGGAAGTAACCAAGCAGAAAACCATTAACAGATATATTTTAAAGGCTTAAGTAAGCACATGTGTAAGAATATAATATGATACAGAAAGCAATATCAATATACATATATATATATATATTGTTATACTATCAAAACATTTGATATTAATATAAGCTTTTCATTTCAATATTTTTGATATATTTTATCATTAAATATACTACACCTCATCAAATTTCTGAGATCAAAATTTATAAAAAAAAAGCTCATTTTTATTAAAAAAAAAAAAAAAAAAAAAAAAAAAAAAAAAAAAAAAAAAAAAAAAAAAAAAAAAAAAAAAAAAAAAAAAAAAAAAAAAAAAAAAAAAAAAAAAGAAAAAGAAAAAAAAACAAATTTGTGCTCAATTAATTGGTTATGAAATAGGTAAACAGCTGTTTTCATGTATTTTGAAAAATGTTCGTGCAGCAAAATGATGTATAGTGAGTCAGGGATATACAATAAGCATTATTGCATCAAAAACTGATAGGCATTTGCATTGTTATACATTTTAATAATTAGACGAATAGTTTTTTTTTTGCATATATCCTTAACTCTGTTTAAAGCATGTCAACTTGCAAAGAAGTTAATAAAAATAATATTATGAACTCACTTGTTTTCTGTGCTGCATTGAAAGATGAAAAAGAAGAAAGTTATATCTTAGTAGCTTTTAATAGCGAAATAATATTTGAAATATTTTAAACTCGATTTTTTTTTTTTTAAATAATATTTGAAATATTTTAAACTCGATTTTTTTTATCAAGTATCAAGATCAGCTGTAAATAAAAATTGATAAAAGTAGGGCTATCAAAAAGTGGACGAAAATCCACTTATTTAAGAGAAAATTATTGTAATGCGTGCTTAAAAAAATCAACATATATGTACATATATATATATATATACACACATATGTGAAGAAATAAAAGTAAATCCAAGCTATTGTTTGAATAAATATTTGATCTCGGATACTTGATCTTCTTTTTTTTCTTTTTTCTTGTTGTACAATTTTTTTTATGTGTGTGTGTGTGTGTTGTGTGTGCATACATATAAAACATAAGTATCAATCATCTCAGTAAAAAACTTTTGCATATAGATAACTAATTCTCTATGGCAAAAGTGAGCAACTGATGGTCAACGGGTTACATATATAGTTAGCGCTTCTATTTACTTACCTTCTTTGGTAATAAAACTCATGAGCTGCACTGTTTTTGTTTCTGTCTATTTATGGATAATCGGCTTAAATAATGATTAGTAAATATATAAGTAATGAATATTATATAAGTAATGAAGAAACGGATTAATTGATGGTGATTGGGATTGTACGGTTCGCACCGGAAGAAAAGTTGCTCACCTTTGCTTTATGATATATTAATAATTTTTTATCATCGTCATTGAATAAGAAACAAAATTGTAATCGCTTTGTACTTAACTATAGATCACATTATGTATAATGAATAGAGTGTAAATACCTACTTGCTTTCATTTAACATAGGTGCAACAAATAAGGGAAGAATATGTCCAGGTGGAACAGATGCAGCAACCATCTTTTTTCCACCAATCATTGCCTGAGATTGACTGGCATAAATATCAAGTATTATTGGATTATTAAGTTTTTGACTCAAAAGCAAAGGCATATCTGTTAATCTGTCTAATAACTCTTTCTTTTCGTGACGTACATGCATCTTCAATGTATAGTCACCCTTTTCCAATTTTTGAATAGTGTACTACGATCATAATATCTTATTATTTTTTCATTTTCTTTCTTCTTTCTTTTTCTAATTTTTTATATTATAACAATTTCTACTTATATTGATATTTATATATACTTACCTTAGATGGATATGCATCACCACAGGCAACAAGTTGTTTGTTGTTATCATATATCATCCACATTTGACTCTCATATTCACTCTCATACAGCAAATTACTAAGTAGTGCAGCATTTGGCGTAACTTCAGTTGCTTTTGCTGAATGGAATGTGTATGTTAATTGTAATTCATAAATTTGTCTGGTTGGTGGAATAATGTCACGATTTCGTAAAGGAATAACTTTTGAATCTGTCGGTCTGAAATTATAAAGATAAATATAATAACGACAATTAACAATTCACAATTATTATAGAACATAATTAATAAAAATAATATGTCACACCATACTTTAAAATTTGTACAGATGATTTAAGAGTAACACACGGTACAACTTCTTCAATTCTCAAAGAACTTCGTATTTCTAAGCGATTTATACCATCGCCCGATTGCATTGTTAAGTTACCATTTATTATACGAATACCATGAAATTCTATTGAGTAATCTATTAACATATCCCCTAAACTTGCCCAATATTTTGCAATAACAACTTCCACAATCAAACCACCCTAGACATAAAATTCACATTGTTAAAATGCATATCAAAAAGCAAATCAACAACTTTTAGAAACATATTAAATTATACAACAAAGAAATAAATAAATATTAACAATACCTCAACAGCAAATGGTTGAACACATTCTGTTTGTGGTGTAACTCCTATCATTTTATTAACTTCAAGTGTTTTACATGCTAATCGTGGTTTTAATTGAATAGTATGAAGTACAAATCTGCTGGTCTTATCCTTTTCTGTACTCCTTAACTTGAGGACTATAATTTAAATTGAGTTATTGCTATTATACATTGACATAAAAAATAATTTTGAATTTATTTTACCTGCCCATGTGGCATCCTCGGGAACGAGAATAAAATGACGCTTGATTGTATTTGGTTTAAATAAAACATTTGTATATATTAGATCAGGGAGAAGAGCTGTTTTTGGCAGTACCATTGGTTGCACTACCGTGATAGGAATTTGGAACACTGGCCCTTTTGCAATATTGGTTACATCATAAGCTCTAACGCTGAAATTTTTATCAAGAAAAAAAAAAAAAATGATATATAGTATACGTTTCGCTAGATAAATATTCGATGCTACATATATGGCTTTATATATGTACTTAATAAAAAATAAAAATTGTTTACTTTCTCACCTTGTAGCATGAACACCTTCTGGCAAATTAGAACCATCGATACTAATTGAAAAAGCACGGGGCATATGCATTAGGTCAAGATGCGTAGGAAATCGTGCCCACGATGCCTCGCACACCAAAGTCAATTTTAAATTAAAATCAATTTTACGTGATGGATCTGTGATGTTTAACAAATTGTATACTTTTAATTATATATATATATATATATATATATATATATATATATATATATATAATATATATTTATATATAAAAAAAAAAAAAAAAAAAATAAAAAAAAAGAAAAGAATTTATAATAAAATTATACCGGTGTTTTCACTATCAAGGAATACTGGTTCAACAGTAACTGGATAATCTTTCGGCCGATCAATAACTCCGATTCTCATATGAATTCCTTTCGAATTATGTGCGGTACAACTGATTGAAAATCTGACATCTCTTTCTGGTGCATCGCAATAGGCAACAAGATTATCAAATGCACGTTCAACTTGCAATAAGCCTGAACCTTGTGCAAATGGATCCAAAGTTGATATGTATAAAGCAGTATTTTCAAGAGCTCTTTTGATACTATATGGGGAATATGGACAACCTTTAGCTATAAGTCCAGATATAAGCACCGCTGTAATATGTATAAATATATATATATATATATGTATGAACAATTACATATGTATTTAGAAAAAGAAAGGATAATATTTCAAAATATATAATTTCTAAATATAAATAAATTTTATAGAGACATATTAGTCATACATACCAATGGCACCAGTAACATGTGGACTGGCCATGCTTGTACCATTCATAAGTTGACTTTTTCTTAATGTAAAATTAGGAACACTCGTAATAGCTCCACCAGGAGCACATACGGTAACACCAAAACCACCATCTATCATTGGACCACGAGAAGACCATGTGTATGGCATACCAGGCATTTTTTCTCTTAGAGAATATTCAGCCACCATCATATCAGGTGAAACATAAGCACCAACACTAATAATACTGTTTGAATTGATGTCTGGTGGTGTTCCTATAGCACAATTAAAGACAATTAATTTGATATTATATAAATATAACATATATACAAATTCAATGACATTAGTTATTGTTTCCATACCAATAGTACATAACGCTGGTCCAAGATTTCCAGCAGATGCAACCCATGTTATACCATACTTATCAATAACTTCGTTCATTAATTCTCCTATTCGTCCTGCATTAGACCAATGAGCATGTTCACCATAACTCATATTTATAAGATGAATTTTTTCTTTTCTACGCTGCATGATGTTTATCATTGCCCTTACTATTGCTGTTCCTGTTTCCATAGTGCCTATTCGTCCATCTCCTACTGTTAGTGAAATTATTTGAGCACCAGGTGCTACACCATTTAATTCCGGGTTTTCAGGAAAATAAGCTGCTGCTATTGAAGCTACATGCGTTCCATGACTTGCTAAAATATATCAAGTTAAATGAAATTTATATTCGTTGAATGATTACTAATTACTTGAATAAATTAAAGAAATTAATTACTTACAACAAAGACTAACTATTTCAAGTGTATTTCCTTCATCATGAACATTAATGCTAACATTTAACTGATCTTCTTGAGTTAGAGGAGCATATTCTTTCGTCAAAGAATATTCTCCAAGATAAACACCAGATTCTAAATCACCTTGTTCAGAAGTATCAATGCACGCTCTATAATAATAATAAATAAATAAATAAATATATAATATTATTATTTATTTTGAGATATAATTACCTCCACATTTCACCGTCATGAAAAACAACAACATCATACGTAGGTCCAGAATCTGAATATTTTTTTTCTGCATTAATGAGTACTTCTACTCTAGCTTCTAATTCCTCTTTTTGTAATTTTTCTTCTAAGGTGGATAATTGTGGATTCTTGGCCTCAAATTCCTATGTATTCCAAATATTAATTATAAACATAAAATTTTAATTTTGTAGAAACAAAATATAATAAAATTAAAAAAAAAAAAAAAAAGAAAATATATATATAGGGAGAACAATTAAACACACACACACACACACACACACACACATGCATAAGAGAAGACAATAGCTATCTATTAGAGTAGTCCAATTTCTCTATCAAACTACATATTATGTAATGTCATCAATAGCTTTACATCACTTCAAACTGCCAAATATAAATAGCATTAGACACCAATCACTGTAGCTTGTTGTGAAACAGCCGTCCTAATTACATGGTTTAACATACAACAACACTATCTTTGGATCACATGGTCTAAAATTCTAATTACAACAGTGGTTCATTAAACGTATACTTATAATAATTCATTCAACAAATTTTCTAATGTTAAAAATTGATTTTAAAATTCTAAAATTCTATATTATCTTCGATTATAAAAAAAAAAAAAAAAAAAAAAAAAAAAAAGAAAAAAAAAAAAAATATTTAATTAAAACAACCGTTTTGTTGATACTCTCAATGATTCTTATGTAAATCAATTTTTGATTTATATGTGTAATTATTCATAATAAAATAAAAAAAAAAGAAAGAAATAAAAGGAGAAACAATAAAAAAAAATATTACTTGTAACGCTCTACTAGCTTCTGCAAGTGCAGCTTTTTGTCCATCGTCCCAAAATTTTTTTTTTCTTTCCGCTGTAATTCTGTCTTTTAATTTGCCAGGATATAATGTAAATACATTTTTTATCCCAATATGATATTCACCACTTGGATTATTCCAATTTGTAGGGACCTAAATAAAAACTTGAAATGTAAGTTTCACATTTCATTTCAATTTCTTAAACAAAAATCAAATTAAATACCTTTAATTTACGACCAGTAATACCATTTATATATCCATCCGGAGCCTGTACAATTTTGCTTGTGTCAACGTCGCCGGCACCGCTGCAGTCAAATCTTTCAATTATTTTTGTTTTTCCATCCGAGGTCACCTGAAATTAATGATTACACTTGTACATCGTCATTATTTTCTATCACACGGCAAATAATTATCCAACTTTCAAGAATCAAGAATAGAACAAAAAAAAAAGAGAAAAAAGATAAAAGAAAGAAAATTTTTAACAAAATATTTTACAACTTTGCGATGAATCAACAATATTAACAGACAAGTGATATATATACACACATATATATATATATGTGTGTAATCAAAATTAAGCCTAAAATAAGAAAAACAAACAATGACTTTGCATGATAAAGTTCAATGACAATGACCATCCCGACTAATGTTTGTATAAGTTGTACATTTCAAAAACAAGATTCTTGTAATTTGAATAATTAAACAAAATGTTCAGTATTAAGGATAGGTTGAATATGTGCCAAAATGAAGGAGAAAAAAAAGAAAAAAGAAAAAAAAAGAAAAGAAAAAGCAAAAACAAAATAGAAAGAGATTCATCAATAGCAATAAAGTTATACAAAGAAGACAATGGAAGCGCGAATGGAACGTAATCAGGAGTGGGAAAACTAAATATATGGGTTTGGCGGTATTATTTCGAAAATAAAATAAAATGGTGTAAGAGCGTCTAACCGAGGCGTGTCTTTGTGTGTTGACTGTTCTCACCTGCATACCCGGTGCTCCAGGATCGACACCGGAATCGAGAATAGCAATAATGACGCCTCGTCCATCGTATTCGGGATATTTCGTGAGAAATTGAGTGACACCTGTTTCTTTTTTAGGCAGTAGGCCCCACACAGGAAAATTACAGTCAATGATGTCTGCCATGTTTCAAATGCCACTGCCACCGTTACTGCAGAAAAACCACTTGAGATGTTTCCTTTGTACTGCCACTGCCTTTATATATCAATCAAAAAATAGGTTCTGCGCCTGCGTGTGCAGATACGAACAAACGGACGAGAAGACAAACCGAAGAGAAATTTGAACATTTTTTGGAGGTTAACTTATCGACTGTAGGTATAACGATGTGATCTTATAATTTTTTTTTTTTCCCCTTTAACAAACGACAAATCATAATTAAAATGATCATTAACATTTGATATATCCATCGTTATGTTTCATTTTAACAGTATGAATTTTACATTTATTCGCCGTTTAATTCATACAGATAAATCTAAATTACGAGCCAGATCGTATATGTATTTACATATAACTGCATATAGATGGCAACATCTATACTACGTCAATAATCATTTAGTGGTGGTAATCATACGCGATATCGTGATCACTTAGGAAGGCTACCGTTTATATTTGCGTTACGCGTCGGGAGCCAACTATTTCCGAGGTTATGTTCGTTTGAGTTGTGTTTTGAAAAATGCACGATCCACCTACGGTTTCTCTGTTCCGCATAGGAAACCATATCGATGTGTTGGCACTCTAATGAGAACAGTGATCAAAATATATTAAAGTGCGACATGTGCAATACAAAAGCATGGTCATCACCCAGAGAAAGATGAAACAGCTTGCCCTATCCATCGTTTGTATTATTCTAGGTATGTTGTTTCTTTTAATTTTATTTTTTTTTCCTTTTCTCTGAGGAAATATATAAAAATTTATCATTGAATAATAATCGATGCCATTTCAATCGTTCGAACTTTTCGATGGTAGATGTTATCGCTTATATGTATCTTCATTCGCAAGAATTAAATTCATTTCGATATTGTTATGAGATGTTCGTTTGCATAATCGTATAATTGTTTTCGCGATCGTACGATTACGAACGAAGACAAAGAGTATGAGAAGCTAACGAAATAACAATGAAGCAAGCCAACAAATCTTTAATGTCAATGACAAAATAACAATGAATTGTACTCTTTTCGTACGACTATATTATTTATTTCTAAGGGCAAAGTAATACTGAGGAAAAAAATAAAAAAAAAAATAAAATAAAATAAAAAAAAAAAAAAAATAAAAAAAAAAAAAAAAAATAAAATAAAAAAAAAAAAATAAAAAAAAAAATAAAATAAAAAAAAAAATAAAAAAAAAAAAAGAAATACGATAAATAAGAACGATAGTTGAACAGCATAATGGTAGAAAGCCAATTGAAATTTTCTTATAATTTTCGTATTTTTTTCGATTGATTTTTTTTCTTTTTTTTGTTTTGTTTTTTCTCTTTTTTTCCCCAAGTAATCGTAATAACATATCGATAATCAAAATTAGATACCAATTTGTAACATGTTGAAACGTTTTAAGTATTAGATACTTAAAATGTATCTACATATTTATAGATAACAACTTATATTTTGTAATACGCGAGCAATACGAATTCTCTTATATCCTACGTCGCATAAAGAATTTATATATTGGCAAATTTCGCGCCAAATTTTGTTTTCGCATTAATCGAGAAAAAAAAAAAATAAAACAAGAAAAAGATTCGTAAATATTCTAAAAATAAATCCGATAACGTCAATTAAATTCATTTTATAATTCTAACAATCAAATTTTGACAAATTAGTTTCCATATAAATGCGAACTGATTTTTAGACTATCAAAGACTTTTTCGCGCGGAAATACAAAATCACATATTTCGACGAACTTTTTTTCACGATACACCTAGCGCACTTCTCCAGCTTCGTTTATTAAACTTTTGAAATTGTTTCTAACGCAAATGAAAATTGTGTACGAGTACGAAAAAAAAAAACGAAGTTTACAAAGTAATAATAATTGAAAAAAAGAAAAAAAAAATTCTTACAGTTCTAGGATTCTACAAAGGTTTGGTAAGTACAGAAGTCGAAGAAGATTATTCTCCGTCTCGGCAAAACATAAACAAGGTGGAACGTATCAGGAAGTTTCAAAAAAAAAATGAAAACGAATTGCTACTAGAGAAGATCGAAGGTAGAGATGAATATGGTGGTAGACTTATTGGCAATAACGATATCAAGGATATCGAGGAGGCTAAAATTCGTATACGGGAGCTCGAAGGTAAATTACGTCATCTCGAAGCGAAGATCGAGAATCGGGTGCCGAAGGATTTTCCTACGGTGAAGTTCCTCAATTATAAAAATCGTAAAAGGATATTGGTTACCGGTGGAGCTGGTTTCGTTGGTTCACATTTGGTCGATCGATTGATGTTGGCCGGTCACGAAGTTATAGTTGTGGATAATTTTTTTACCGGACGAAAGAGAAATGTCGAACACTGGGTCGGCCATGAGAATTTCGAATTGGTACATCACGACATCGTAAGGCCATTATATTTGGAAGTTGATGAGATCTATCATTTGGCCAGTCCAGCCAGTCCACCCCATTACATGTTGAATCCTGTTAAAACAATTAAAACTAATACACTTGGTACTATAAATATGTTAGGTATGTATGTATGCATCGTGTGTTTTTTTTTAACGTGTCTTATTACGAGTAGAGATTATCGACGATAGAATATACAATATAATGTAATCTTTGAAAAAAAAATTTATAGGACTCGCCAAGCGAGTTGGAGCACGTGTATTAATTGCCAGTACGTCCGAAGTTTATGGGGATCCTAACGAGCATCCCCAGATGGAGACTTACTGGGGTCATGTTAATCCTATCGGTAGGTTTCTCTTTATTATTATTATTATTATTATTATTATTATTATTATTATTATTATTATTAGTATTAGTATTTTGTAATTAATTTAATGAGGGAAGTGAATGTTCAACGTCACGTAAAAAAAATGTTTGGCACGCTTTCATTTCGGTTATTTTTTCTTTCTTTCTTTCTTTTTCTTTTTCTTTTTTTTTTTTTTGTTTTTCTTTTTTTCTTTTATGTAATATATCCATTCAGGTCCAAGAGCGTGCTATGACGAAGGGAAAAGAGTCGCCGAAACTTTAAGTTACGCCTACATGAGACAAGAAGGTGTGTCGGTACGAGTAGCACGAATTTTTAATACTTTTGGACCAAGAATGCACATGAACGATGGACGGGTCGTATCAAATTTTATTCTTCAGGCTTTGCAAAACGACTCGATCACCATTTATGGTAATGGAAAGCAAACAAGATCTTTTCAGTATGTCACAGATTTGGTAGATGGATTGGTTGCCTTAATGGCTTCTAATTACACGTTGCCCGTAAATATCGGCAATCCGGTTGAACACACCATCGAAGGTAAAGGAAAAACTTTGTAAATTATTTAAAAAAAAAAAAAAAAAAAAAAAAAATTAACATTAACGTGCTTTTTTTTCTTTTTTCTTCTTTCTGGTGCTTACAGAATTCGCCTTTATTATAAAGGATTTAGTTGGTGGTACTAGTAAAATAGTTGAACTTGCCGCGGTAGAAGACGATCCACAAAGAAGAAGGCCAGATATTAGCAGAGCAAAAAAATATTTAAATTGGCAACCGAAAGTTCCTTTAGCTGAAGGTTTGAAAAAAACTATCATGTATTTTGCGAAAGAATTGCAAAGAACGATGCACTCGCAAAAGGATAGTATTAAACATTCATCTTATAAAAATGATCATGATATAATAGATCATCTCTAAGAGTATGATTCGTTGTTACATTCGTAAAAACCCTATCTTAATAAGTGACAGAAACTATCGTCACTGAGTCATGGACCACTATGTGCCAAAAGATTCCCCGTCCAATTCTGGATTCTACGAAAACTTAGAAATTAATTGACACAGAATTATGACTAATTACAGATGAGAAATCTTATCAATATGGAATTGCAGCTTTTAATGCGACTAACATAAAAATCGATTAAGATTTAATTAATATTATTTTGTAACTCCAACGAAATATTGTATTTCCATTTATTCTTTTTGTTTTGTTTTGTTATTTATTATTGCAAATAATATATATATATATATATATATATATATATATATATATATATATATATAAAAGCCTACTTTTGGATTAGCTAAGACGATCAAATTTTCTCTCTATATCTTTTTACTCTGTGTCATTTTGTTTCTTCTATGATTAATTAATTCAAATACATATTTACATTTCACACGTGTTTATTGTGTTCTTCGACGTCAATAATACACAACAACGCTTAAAGTTAAATGTTACACAATACTAGTCCCATCGATTTTCTTGGGATACATACATATACATGTATATATAGTATATATAATTTTAACGATATAACAATCGTAATGAATTATCATGTGATAAATAATACACGAACTGCTTATTTTACTTATCTATTGATTAAATAGATAAGTATAATATATATATATATATATATATATATATATATATATATATATATATATATATAGATTGATTTTATTTTAATTATTTTCCTCCATTATTCTAATAATAAGATCGCGCGAAAGTAATTTTTGTATTATCGTTATAATCCTTCTATCGTGTGATATATACGATATTATATATATATATATATATACGTGCAGACATATATGTATATACGTAAATGTATAGCATAAATCAAAATTTGAAGTACCTTTCGAGAGATACTATCTCGTTGAAAAATTAGATAAGTAATATTTACTTTCACTCGACATTAATGTCTTCAACGATGTTACTCCGGATATTGATTTTTTAGGATTATAAACGACGAAACTGTAATGGACAGTAAAGGAAATTGGGAAAGTAATTTTATACGTTAAGTGTAATTGTACACTAAAAACAACAACAAGTATGTGTGATCATAGTAATCTGTAAAAAAAAGAAAAAAGAAAAAAACATTTCCTCGTTTGCCATCACCGATATATATTACGAAATAATTTATTATTATAATATTAACATCGTATGAAAAAAAGAATAAATAGATAAAAGAAAAAAAAAAAAGAAAAAAAAAAGAAAAGAAAAAAGAAATGAAAAAGAGAGAAAAAAATGTGTAAAGTAGTTAAAATCAAATTAATTTATTGTTTTTATATATTATATCGTCAAATTTGTAGGAATATCAAATTATCGTAAACTTGGATATTTCTACTAATGCTAACTTACATTTAAATATTACCGATTAACTAGATTAATAACAATAATTTGTATGTACATTTATTCAAAATATATATATATAATATATATATATATATATTTCATTTTTTTTTTGCGTTACTGTGTCAATTTTACGCGCTTAATGATTGTTCCATTGTTTTTTTTCCATATATACACGTTTATAAATTATACGAGTATATTCTAATGGGGGGGGGGGGGGGGAGGGGAGAAAGAAAAAAAAATTATATATAATATATCCAAGGTGTGACTAGTCTTCGTAAAAATAAATAAAATATTTCAAAGATCTTTATAAATCGTTGTAAATACTGTTTCTATTTTTTTTTTCTTTCTTTTTTTTTTTTTTTAAGCCGATTCTTTTTAATACCAATTAGTCCTTCTTTATTAGATAATAAAAAATATTATGGACTTGTAGTTTTACAATTTCCAAAAGGAAAGAATAAATATATTAGTTCGAATAGTGTCTCGGAAAAAAAAAAAAAAAAGAAAAAAAAGAGTAATCGATTTTTACAAATCATCTTTGAAGAAATTATCTTTGATCCACCTAGAAAGTTTTGGCCCACCCTATTATATCATTTGATCGAACGATATCGTGATAATGATTGTTTTACATTACGTTATCTTGTATATCAAAGAGATAGACAGAGAGAGATATAGATGGACAGGATAGATAGATGGATAGATAGAGAGAGAGAAATCTTTTACATTTCATAGACATAGAGTATATGTATACGTATATGTATACACATACATACACATACACAGACATCATGCTATAAGAAATAACCGGAGACTTCCCTTACGCAATATATCTCAGATTATTTTTGTTCTCTATCTCTGTCTGTGCCTATCTCTCTCTCTCTCTCTCTCTCTCTCTCTCTCTCTCTCTCTCTCTCTTTCTCTCTCTCTCTCTCTCTCTCTCTCTCTTTCTCTTCTTCTCTCTCTCTCTCGGTTGAAGCTGATCAGACTAGATAATATTATAATTCCGTCGTGGACGATGAGCACGTAGATATCTCATGATACGGATTTCAGGACGAGCTTGTGAAGAATCGTTCGTGCCCGTTTAGATCGCATTTGAAGGGCCGATTGAACGTAATGGGTGACGCGTGGGCTCTCTGACAGGGCGCGCGTGGTCGTCCTGTCTCTTAAGAAAGAGAAGACTATATGCAGAAGATAACTTGTACGACAAGGAGAATGATAGAGAAAAGAGAGAGAGAGAGAGATGGAAGAACGAGACGATGCGATTCTTAACGATAATCATCGCATCCGGGATATGTATCACAACTACACTCGACGAACGAATACCAAAATGTCCGAAAGGTGAAGACTATGAAATATTTCAAGTCGACATAATTGACTACAAGATAAGAGAACCGTCTTCTTTTTCTTTTTTTTTTTTCTTTTTTTTTATATTTATTTATTTTTTTTTTTTTTTTTTTTTTTTTTTTTTTGTTTACTTTGATCAATCTTAAAACCACGCCGGAGTTTTAATTCTCTATATAACGTCACGTTATAGTATATTTAAAAGTTACACAATCATATATATATATATATATATATATATATATATATATATATTCGTATTCTACAAATTTTATTTCGTCATTTTTCCGATCGATTATATTACAAACGTTAATCGCATCATTTTCCAAGAATAATTATAAGTTATATTGCAAATTATTTAAATGTTCGTTTGTTTAATTTTTTTTTTTTTTTTTTTTTTTTTTTTTTTTTTTTTTTTTTTTTTTATTACTCAAACATTATACAAAATTCGATTATGAGACGATTAATGAGATTCATTATAGGAAGTAATATTGTTTCCCGAACGAATTTTCTGATTCGAGATCGATAAAACTATACTCGGATAATTACCTCATATCATAGTAATTATCGATTCAATGTATGTATTTAAATATTATCGAAGGAACTTCCTGTTTGTTAATGGGAGAAACGGTCGATCGACGTCATCGAAGTAATAACACTTACTATTTATTTGCCGGTGGTCCAACGGCATGTGATTCGATCTCCCTTACCTCCAACTGAGACATCGGATATTCAGGTAACGTAAGTTTAGTTAGAATAAAAAAGAAAAAAAAAAGAAGAAAAGAAAAAAGAAAAAAAGAAAAGAAAAAATAAACGCAAAATTTATCGTCGTCATTAATATATTACGTAAGTAGAGTTACATTTTTTAAGACTGAAATTTTCTACGTTCTCAATATTCTAACATTTGAAGAAAACGATTAGAATCTGCGCGT